GAGTTAGACGCCTTCGAAATTCGAACCCCAACCCACCATTTTATTTTATTTTTTATTTTTTCATTATTATTCCTTTATGCGTTCTTTAACAAAGAAAGATGCACTATTCTACTCATAGAAAACCTTACACATGATAAGCTGTCGAATATATTGTAAAAATAATTTTAAACAGCGGAAATAAACCAATTTTCCTGGATTTTTCCAGTTTTTCCCCATTATTCGCTATTTTCCCAAATTAAGAAAAATTATTTCCTATATGTAGGATCCTCTAAAATACAGAAAAACACATTGAAAAAGTAATATAATGCAAACAAAGAAGAAGAAAATGAAATTTTTTTTTTCTCACGCGAGATCTTTATTTTATAAGCTAACGCTTGAGATCAAACCAGAAGTAACAAAAAGAGAGAGAGTTTAGAAGCTTCCAGATAAAAACCTTAGCATTTATATTGAAATTTTAAAAAAATGTAGAAAACCTGCTTAAAGAGAAATTAAAACCTTTTCTTGTTTGAACTGTAAGAGTGATTTATAAGTCTCATTAACGAGTAAGATTACTTTTTGCTCATCACTTTTTATTATGTCACATTTTTTGTGTTCTTAAGTGAGAATATTTTTCATAACTAGGGAATTATCTATTTCGTTACGATTCATGTTGTTACATGAAATTACAATATTTGAATATTGACAAAATGTTTTTTGTGGAAAATGTCAACTATTAAGAAATACAGAGATAAATGTGAAGCAATCATGAGGGTTGGGGAAATGGGACCTCTTAGTATTTATATAAAAAAAAAAGTAATATATTTTCCTTTTTCAAAAAGCTTTAGCACCCCGCCTGATGAAGCTCTTAAATATATCTGTTTCAATCCCTTATGCCATGGAGTTTTTTACCACCACTACTACTGAAATTATTAATGAAAGAAAAAGAACTAATCAGGTATCTATAAATCAATCTCTTTACTTGCTTCCGAAATAATTTTTTCTTTCATTTATTAATTTTCGAAACTTTTATTTAATCATAGAAAATAAAGGTTTTAATTATGTATGGAACAACACACACTGTTTTCACATTCGGTATATTTTGATGACATTTTTAACCACTTCATTTGAATATAACTTGATTTTCCTTTTATACTTATGTATTTAGAATAAGAGTCTCAAGGTTACTCGATTTCCCATTCTCTACAATTCTGCCCTCTCCGTTATCGCCTTATATTTCTTTCTCCCCACTGAAACGTACTGCCGTGAGGAAAAAAGCGATATTTTGCTTAATCAGGATAACAGAGATAGGTAGGTATTTTATTTACTGTAGCACTAGAGCCGCACAATGGGCTATTGGCGTCGGTCTGGGAAACATCCGTGAGGATAATCCGAAGACATGCCATCACAATTTTCATCCTCTTCAGAGGGGGTGGCTCCTCGCTTTGGCAGCCCGACGACCTGCTTCGCACTTTACGGTAGAACAGTTTAAGGAGGACCGATACCGCACACCCTCGGTCGCTACGTAGGCTCATCAAAGTGGTCAACCACCCACTCACTGACCTCAGCCTGTGATGCTTGACTTCGTTGTCTTTACAAACTGCAAGACCATGATAACGGAGAGGGAAGTTGTTTAATCTTGAGAAGCCCATTCTAAATACAAAAATGGTGTGATTGCGGGTTCGCTGACTTCATTCTGATCATTAAAGTGATAAATTATACTTAAGAGGAAATTTAGGGAAAATGATCGAATCGTGCCGGTATTCTGAATTTCGCACCAAAAAATGTTTTGACTTTATACATGTGTGCAGTTTTTCTCTATGATTATAAACACAAGTTGGGAGTCATGTTTATTTAACAAAAACTGTTTTTTATTTGGAATTTAAATTTCTAGTCTTGATTAAAAGACCTGTATAAAAGAGCATCAGTGTAACTAATTATCATGAACAGTGTATCACTACATCTCATCAGACAATTTTATATCTCACCCAGTGGCGTACGCAAGGGAGGGGTTTAGGGGTTTAAACACCCCCTTGAGCTCAGATAAAATGGCAAAAATAAAAATTTCAGCAGAAATTATGTGTGCTATTATTTTTTAAGACTATATATTTTTATTTGCCTTTTTTTCTCACGGTATTTCTCAGAATACTGAAAAAACATTTACTATAATAGGGTTGTACTTTTGAAACCAAATTCACGTGATACTGTTACGGACTGGTTCCTTTCTGTCCTGCTAGTATAGTTTTCGAGACTAGCTGTCATTCGCGAGGTCTTTACGCGATGATTCTGGAATCCTAGACGTTCTGTCGTCTTAGAGACAATTCGAGAATTTTGGAGATGCGGTGAAAAATTATATAAAAAGGGGAACGGAGTACAGTGGAGTTAGTTAATCAGACTAAGAGTTATCTCTGCCGCTTGTCTTTCGGAGCTTGTCGCTAAATCTGTTTTGTTTTGTCTTAACAAAAAGTTCATTCAATCGCCGAACCCGTCGTCGCCACTATTTCGACTAGTGAAGAAATCAGTAACAATACCATTGGAGATACTGTGCTCGTTGAAGTTATTCATTCCAGCTCGAAACTTTGAGATCCTAGCATAGCGGATATTTCTGTGCAAATATATGTATATATATATAGATATTTGCTGTTCTTGGATCTTTAGGATGTCAAAACGCAAGACCTGAAATTCACAACCTGAAATTAGTGAGGTGACAGCATCTAGTACCAATGTAATTTTTCTGTTGTATAGAAATGTGATACTTCCGTTGAAGAAAACGTTTCCAGCATAACAAAATCTGATGAATGTGAAAGTGGTCCTCAAAGTGTTACTTCCCACCCATATGACATTGGACTTTTTTCAGAAGATATTACATTATGTTCCAAAACTTAAAAAAATCAAATCAAAATATAACTAAACAATGTTGTCTAAATAAAAAGTCAAAATTGTCTAGCTGTCTAAATTAGGGAAATAATAGTGCTTTATTACAGACTCGAATTTCTTTTAGTAGTTTCAGAAAATTATGAACACCCCCCCCTGAAAAAATTCTGCGTACGCCACTGATCTCACCAAACAATAAAAAGTTGATTTGTACTTAAAAGATTAAAAAATAAATAAATAAATAAAAAATTAAACAAATTTGAAAATTTAATTTTGCAGTACATTTTTATCGTACCGCTAGCAAAAATTTCTGCGCATTATTATGATCATTATTATGATCTTCAGCATTTTTAGTAGGAATCTTTTTTTTTCATTTCAATCGTATGAATATTGCTGGTAACTATGTAGTAACAAAAATATAGCAAAAGCTACGTTTCGGACAAAAAATAACTGGGCAATACCCAAAATAAAATGTTAAACAATTGTAAAATAACACTATTTGAGGTTTTTTTACCATGCATAACAATGAAACTAACTAGAATTTAGCCCAACATGTTTGATTATTACAAAAAAAAAATTTCGATGAATGCATAAGATTTGAATGTTAGAAACTTCAGAATGTTAGCAATGAATGCTAGAAGTGATTATTGAGTTCCGAAATTATTTGTTAATAACGAAATGAAGGTTAATTCTTTATAAAATCAATGTAATTAGTTCTTCATCATGTTTTATTTTAGTTAATGTAAAACAATGTTTTCCATAATGAGTGAAAGAGACTAGTTGAGCTACATAAAAAAAAATATTCAAAAGCTACTGAATTCGAACCTTTTACGCGAATTTTAAAATTAGCGACAGATATTCGGATTTAGATATAAACTTATGCCTACAACAGTTATGGCGTATCGAACAATTTTGAAAAACTCACTGAACCGATGAAACACGAGTAATTTTTCGATACACAGTTAGAAATTTCGCAAAAAATTGGTTGAATATCAACTCATTGCATTGTTATTTCATCATATTCAACAAAAACTGTCAAATAATCATGGAAAAAAATGGTATTCAAATCGTTAACTGTGAGAAAAAATCGATCATTGTCTGTTTTCAACAAATACGGTTAAAATACCAGAATTTTATCCGCGCAAACTATTCTCGCAGCCAATGAGAATCGAGCGCACGTTCTTCTGAAGTTTGAAACTTAGCCAGATTATAAATTCATACTTTTATTTTCCATGATCGGATGCCTAATAATATTATATTAATAAATATGTTGCCCAACACCTTATGAAACCTTGCTGTTTCTGGGCACATATTTTAGCTAAAAATCTATCTTTCAATATCATGAGAAGCTGAGCAGGAGTTCGAATCCCAGTGTTGACACCACAATATTTCCCCCGTTCATTCAACACATGAAAAGCTTCCAGTGTCCTACACTCTTCAATTAGACTGTTGGAATACGTAAGTCTCATTCAAACATAGATGGCAGCACCACAGATCTGTTAAAAAAGGATAGTATTTTCCATATCTCACAATAGATGGCATCACTAGATAAACTAAGACATATACTACGATTCATTTGAGAAAACACAACTTAACCTCGTCCTAACTCCAATGTCCATTACCTAACGAAAACCCTAACAAAACTCCAATGTCCAGTTAAATTTTATTTTTAAGATTTTGATAAATAGTTATAAAACCCTGTGATTTTTTTTATTCACGATTTTTAATCATATAAGTTGTAAACGATTTCAAACCCATAAAGGTAGAGAAATATACTAAACAGCAAACTTTACGGTCAATTTGATGTAAAGACTACTGCCGCCGATTATTTTATAAGGAAAATTCTAACAATATAACCTGCTGAATAGTTGAGTTCAGCGATGATTTGGGAAGTTTTTTCAAAAAAAAAATAAATCCTTTTAATTTTTCCCCACAAAAATAACTAAGAAGGATTAAAAGTTGCCTAAACGATTCTTTTACGGGCAGAAACGCTGCATTTCGACATTTTTCTTCTCCAAAAAATTAACAGCAATTATAAGGGCGCGCATGCTCAAGAAAACCTCAACAGGATGTGACGAATTTCAGACTGACCAACAGAGGGCGCTGCAACCATGCATAATAATTAAGAATATCTATCATTGATGTCGTAGCAAGCAACAAATTGAAATGAAGGGCTTATTGGAAAACCAGACAAATATCACACCATCAAACATTTGTTTATTTTTATTGTTTACATTATTAAATTAAATTGTTACTAACAATGACTTTTTTTTTATTATTCTTTGCACCATTAACTTTGCACTAAAGCATCGCACAATGCATGCCATGTACTTATCCACCACGTTTTAGCTGAATCTCGCCAGCAATTGAAAAGTTATCAAGTTTATGCATATATATTGCTTAATAATTGTCTCATCTTTGATCCAATAATAATTTAACGTTTTTGATGATAAATAATACTTCTATCAGACAATATAAAATAATAATGATTAGAAATAATTGCTGTTAAGATTGAGAAAATGGCTAAAAGTTTAACTTACCATAACTTAATCATAATTATTTCTTCCCGATGATGCTTCATTATCAAATTTCTCCTTTTTTTTATAAATTATATGATGGAAATTATATGAAAAATAACTCATTTGAGTCAAAATGATGAATACTTCTTTCAGAAAAGAAATGATTTTCTTCAACTGCTGATGGATGTAGCAGATGAGGTTGAGGTTGAAGAGAAATTAGAAGACATTGAAAAAGTGAATGATTTAGCCAACAGCAACAATAAACATGGTCAGAATGAAGTTACAACTCCGACAAATAAAAGTAAAATTCGCAAAAAGAAATTCATTTTTATTTACTTTAATGCAGTATATTATAACTATTTATAATATAGCATACTGTAATGGTTGTATTTAGCTTAAAGTTAAATTCAAATCTCTATATTTAAACATAATGGCATAAAACTGCTTTCCATTGTTTTCGGCGCATTCTTATTGGCCAAAAAAATCACATGATGTAATCAAGTTTTACTTATGGAGATCACCAAATTTCGTTGGTTGTCATCAGCATAAAATTAAAAAAAATATTGTTTACCTGTAAAACAGTTCTTTATCACTAATTGGATGCCTCTAAGTGACGTCACCGTAAGTAAATCATAGCATTTGTCTATTCAGAAGCCAATCAAATTCGACACACAAGCTTGACTTTGCTTACAGGTATCCAATTAAAACTGATTTAAATCACATGGTTAGGCATGATCAGTTCACTTCTTCACGAGTTGCAAGTACCCACTTTAAAGGAATTTACCTATAATATTTATTTATTATCTGTTTTTAGTATTTTCTGTTATAATGACATTTTTTTTCATTATTCCAATTTAAAGGCTTCAAAAATGTTTTCTTTTTTTTTTCGTTAAAAAGTAATCTAGTATTATTACTTTCTTTCGCAACATATTATGACAAACCAGGGCTTATAGACACCTGAAAAAAATTGAAAGTAGTAGTAATATCAATTCGCGATCGCAACGCTCGAGTACGCCGTCTAGCGGGAGCTTGTAAATATCGGACATTAATTTATCACGTTTTCATTTAGTTCCATCAAAGTCATTGACTGAATCAGACGCCATTTTTTAGCAGCAAATAAGAAACAAAATTTCCCTAAGGAAAAGGCCGAAGAACTTGAAAAAAATCTCCAGAATATTAGTAAATCTTTCAGGAACAGAACACGCCAAACATTTGAAGAAAAATTCCTCAATAATTTTTAATTTCTATTATCAACAAACTTGCAACTGATGACTTCCGATTTCGGATACTGTTACAGATGTGTGTATTAAGGTAAAATGCATTTCTTCTGTCTTCAATTCATTACGAATTAAAGTGAAGTCAACATTGCTTTCGTCATTCCAGTGAATAAATATGAATTCAGAACATACAGAATTGTAATA